AATTTAGGAAATGATCAATTATAAGCTTCAATTAAGGTTGTGCACCTCAATATTCTTTGTATCTTTACCAATGGAAAATTAACCTAGAATTAATTTTCGAATGATGCAGGCTGCCAAAGAAGCCAGATACGACAAAGAAGCGGTGATGAAATTTTTTCGAATGGTCTGTATATTTTGCTTGTGCATCTACATTTTATTTATCTTGGAAACTCTCATCTAAATTGGTAGTACATTGTACGAAGCTGATCAGGCGGAGATACTTCTCAGATGAATTGCCTGGTGCTAGCCCGTGGTCGACAAAGGTACATAGGCCACTGTCACAATCTCCTGAAATTTCGAGTGATGAGGACCAGATGTATAAGAGTTCAAGGTATGGCACGTTTAACCTGCCTAGAGATCTTTTGTGATAGATTGATCTGCTGCATGAAACCTTTTGATTTATTCTAACACAGAATAAAAGAAAATGAAGGCCATATGTATGGCAATGCATGTGGTTCAAGATCAAATTGCATCGGTTTTTCTGCTCTAATTGCTGAATTATCTCTACTTATTTGATTGCTTTCTTTTTCCATATGAATTGTTACACTAGCTATCCTTTGCTTTGTCATGTATCAACAGTTTTTACTTGCATACAAGTTGCCATTTGATGCATGTCAATTTCCATCCGCGAAGGTTTTTGCAGCAAGTGGTGGAGTGTGGAAGAATGCACAGGAAATATCTTTACACAAGCATGGATCCACCTGTGTTCAGTATCTTTGGTTATACTCGATAATAAACTGCATCAGCCCTGTTTCTTACTCTCTTCTGCATCCTTGGTGTTGGTTAGAACACTTCCAAGACTTTAATGTAAATGTGTACATGCATAAATTTAATGCCAAAGTTTGCATTTCAATACCTATGATTTTGGACCATAGTTTATGTTGTGTTCAGTGCTATCACACTGTTGAAAGTGTCATTTGGTGTGTTAGATTGCCTATGTTTAGAGCTTTTCAATTCTCCACACTTTCATAATTTTGCAGGAAGGTCCACACGTCCAGCTCCTCGTCCAGCAGCAACACGCAACCCATCCCCTCAACCAGGTATCTCTAATCTACTTTGCTGTATCATTAATTATTTAAGGACTTGGAACCTATTACAAAATAATTTCCATTAGTTAATTGGTCTCCTTTATCTGTTCTCCTCTCTTTGGGCTCCATTTGTATTTAACATTGCATGTCAATGGTTCTTGTGTTACTTTGCATCTCATTGTTTTATTGATGATTATTTCAGCGAATCATGCTCCTCCACCAGCTCCTGTTCAAGGGAACACAGGTGGATCCATGCTTGGAAACATCGGTTCTACATGCAGAGTGTACTCCATTTACACAAGACAAAGTGTTTGCAGTGGTTTATTCAAGGCTTCACGGATTTGAGTTGTTTTCTAGCCAGTGTGTATTCAAGGCCAGTGGGGCTAGGATTTGTGGTAGTTCTTTTTTTTATTATTGAAAATGTATAAGATTTTTAGGTGCTTCAAAATTTTGGATCTAGATTTTGTACGGATATTGTTACATTTTGTAGTTCAATTAATAATGATTATTGGAGTTATTTGATATTGTTTCTTCTATTATCATGTTTTATGGTTGATTTATGTAAATCACTATACAAATAAAAAAATTTAAAATTTTAAAAAAATGTAAAAAGACCTACGGAAATGGTCAAAAAATGTTGCAAAAAACTGTCTTTCGCAACTTTAAAAAAATGTTGCAAAAGACTATCTTTCGCAATGTTAAAAAAATGTATTTCGCAACGCTAAAAAAAGTTGCAAAAGGTCTTCGGCAACGCTAAAAAAATGTCGCCGTATTCTTCTACTCTATGGCAAGATCGAGGTTTGCAACATATGCAGAAATGTTGTAAAAGGTCTTTCGCAACGTTTTTAGAACATTGGGAAAGACAGTTTTTGTTGTAGTGAATCTTATTGTTAGAATTTGTGCCACTTGAGACCCAATAGTGGCGTCGCAATTGAATTGACCTAATTGTTGGTCAAATGAGAAAATCTCAAAGAGTTAAATTTGATCGTGTTTATCTAAAAGCAACACAGTCATCTAATTAAGTTGTAACCTATGTTTATTCTCTTAAACATTTTAATTAGAGTTCTTTAGTCGTGATTTGAAATAGTAACATCCAAAAACCATAAATGTTGGAAAACTTATGAGACTATTATGAAAAATTAGAATAAAAGATGGTGGATTCAATCTGAAACGCCATTTATGATTTCAATTTGTGCATGTTTGTTGTCATTTTTTGATTTAAGCTTTATCAGCTATTTGTTGAGACTTTTAAGAACCAAAGAGGCAATTGTGATTAAAGTGATAACTCAAAAATAACTAACCAAGAGGGGGATGGATTGATTTTTGAAACTTTTTCGACATTTAGTCTCAAAACAATACAATACATAATATATGAATGCAAAGTATAATAC